ACTATATGGGGTCCTGACACGCCCTCGAGTACTTATAAACCGCTCGGCGCTTGAACGACACGGCCGCATTTTGGCTCTGTAGTTTGGTCAGTGGCAATATAGACTCAAAGTTGTCCGATCCGTGCTACCAATGTAATACACGCCCAACGCCGCCAAGATCTGGCGGCAACCCTACAACTTACAACGACAGCCCGGCCGCTTGACCGGCCTCGTGCAGAGACTGACGACATGCAGCGAGCAGCGCGGTGGGTTCGGCTGACGCCGTTACTATATGGGGTCTGGTTGCAGCATGTCTCGCTTTAGGCTACTAAGGCCAGCAGGCGGCCCCCAATCTGGGCAATACGGCAGCCTGCGGCGCGTCACACGCATTCCCCCCCTCAGCCTATGTGCCATGCGTCCATGACACGCCTTGCATATATCGCTGACTGACGACGACATAGTAGAGATCCGCCAAGACTGCCTGCTCGGACAAGCATCTCGCCGACGAACTTGTAACCGCTGTGGTGTCTGTCTGGCTTCACGAATCGTGGGACATGTCCCGAGAGCTGAAAATATCAAAGTGCTTGAGCCTACGACTTGCCATCAGCTCTGGCGCTGAAATACCTCTCATCATGTCCGCCGACCCTAGTCACGTAGCCCGCGGTTCCCCGTAATGGGGCGGATTTTGGCCAAGGCTGAAAGAACTATAGACGGCACCAGGAGTGTACTTGCAGGAAGCTGGGCTGTTGTAGTAGTCTACACGGGCATTTTAGAAGCCTCTATTTATTATTATTTTTTTTGTCCCCCAAGTGCGTGGCTTATGAGCACAGACTTGAGCCTTGCGAAATTTCCCCAAGGTGACTGGAGTCGAAGAGTTTATATATCTAGAATGGCCAAAGCCTGTATGCCAAAAGTCGATTCTTGCTATTTTACCATTTCATTCGCTCGATCGGGATGCATTTTCGTCTTCTTTGGTAAAGAAGAGTTCATTGTTCCAAAATTTCCTTTATCCTTTCAGTCTTGTCGGTCTCCAACCCTCTCTGGTACATGCTGGGGAGTGAAGATGCTGTCGGATGCAGCGCTGTACGGATGGTTGGCCCTGCCGGTAATAATAGCCTGGTTCGCAGCAAACACATACTATGGCTACCGTCGATTAAAACACATACCCGGACCACCGGGTGCCGGACTCTCCATCTGGTGGCTCCTGCGGTCTACTCTTGGCGGCAGGACACACCTCGACTTGTACGAGGTGTGTCGGAAATACGGTACGTTTCCAAGCTCTCCTGGCAGAAACAGTCAGTGGTCAAGGATACAACCAGCACACACTCACTGACGGTGCCCTCAGGCCCAATCGCCAGAGTCGGGCCCAACGATGTAGTAACCAGTGACGCGAAACTCGCCATGCATATACTCGGTGCCCGCTCGCAGTATACACGGTCATCTTGGTACAACGGACTGCGGTTTGAGCCCGGCAAGAACAACATCATTTCCATGAGGGACGATGCCCTCCACGCCGTGATGCGGTCGAAAATGGCCGGCGGGGTACGACTGATTAGACGGGCAGCGTCCATGCCACGCAATTGCTCCAAGTAGAGTGGCTAACAGGGTTGTTTTGTCATAGTACTCTGGCAAGGAGGTCGAGTACCTCGAGTTCAAGATTGACAAGTCTGTCACGAACCTGGTCAATCTGCTCGACTCGTACGTACGTGACGGCCGGCCGTTTGACTTTGCCCGCAAGATACACTTCTTCGCCCTCGACGTCATCTCGGAGCTGGCGTTTGGAGAGCCCTTTGGCGACCTGACGACGGACTCTGACGTACACAACCTGGTTACGGATATTGAGACCTATTTGCCCTACCTGATTGTGTCCACCGTCATGTCGTGGATGATCCCGGTTCTCGGGCTGCCCATTTTCAGGCCCCTCATGCCTTCGGAGCACGACGTGCTTGGCATCGGCCGCCTGGTAGGGTTCGTTATACGCCTCACCGCCGTTGATGACTCTATACTGATTCCATGGTGGTGCAGAATCGCAAAGAGGGTGGCGGCGGAGCGGTACGGGCCAAGCAGAAAGATCCAGAGGGACATGGTGGGTTCCTTTGTCGCCAGGGGATTGACGCAAGAGCAAACCGAGAGTGAGATTGCCGCGCAAATGTACGTTTGGCCACGAAATCCGCAGCATTATTCACACTAACGCGGCAGCAACGGCAGCATCGCCGGCTCCGACACCACCGCGACGGGCATCCGGGCCACGTTCCTGCACGCCATCACCAATCCCCGCGTGCTAGCGCGGCTCCAGGCCGAGATTCAGGAATCCGAGTTAAGCTGGCCCGTTGCTGCGGACGCCGAAATCCGCAAGATGCCATTTGTGCAGGCCACCATCAAGGAAGGGCTGCGCATGCTGCCGCCCGTGGCCGGCTTCATGTCCAAGGAGGTTCCTGCCGATGGGGACTGTTGGAACGGTCTCTCGTTCCCACCGGGGACTAGGATAGGGCTGTGTATGATGGGGATAATGCGCCAGAGAGATGTGTTTGGAGCGGATGCGGACGAGTTTCGGCCGGAGCGATGGCTCGGGGCGACGCCGGACATGGAGGCGACTTGGGGTCTCGTGTTTGGCTCAGGGAAATGGGCGTGCTTGGGCAAGAACATTGCCCGGATGGAGATGAACAAGGTGCTGGTTGAAGTGAGGCTTTTTGTCGATTCTTTGTTTTGCAAAAACCTGTCTAATTGGTTCGCGCTTACACTTTTTGACAGGTCCTGAGGCGGTTCGATCTCACGCTGGTCGATCCGATGAATCCTTGGAAATCCGTGAATTATGGTGTCTTTTTGCAGTCGGAATTTTGGGTACGTGGTCATACACGCCATGATCTACGGCCGGGATGTGTTGATGGGCAGAATCCGGGGGGGGTACTGGACGTGAAGTTTGCGACATGAATCTGGGCTCACATATTATATGCGGGTGGCTTCTGTGGTCTATTTCCGCGACTGTGTAGGATCAAGGGGATGGGGAATATGTACATCTCGTTGTTCCCTGTGGCTATACTTCGAGAGCATAAAGACAGTTCATGCAATACAAGATTTGCCCGCTAGGGTATATTTTGCTTGAAGGATAACACACTTGTTACTCTGTCAGCATCTGCGGATGCTCGTGTTACTAGGTCCTCCACCGAGCATGTATCTTGATAACAGGGACTGGCCAAGCTGAACAAGGGTGGTGTTGCCAGAAACGGAGTACTTGAGGTTTTGGACCGATTTTCTCATGGATCTCATTACCACATTGTTGTATCTCGAGTGGAGAAATCCACCGCAGTACACAGTTTAAGACAAAATGGGAGTCATAAATGCCCAATGTATGAATTCGACGAACAAGTGCGAATTCGCGGCCAATCATTGACCATACGTGGTGTGGAGTGACTTGAATATCGAGTTGTTGCCGGGTTGATGATGCCCACGGCGACTAACATACTAATAAGGCTGGCAAGGGAAAACCACGATTCTCTTACCAGTCATCCGGTACTAGAGGTCTTTTTATACCTCGTATTCCCTTTGTGAAAATAGAGCCGTCACTCCGAATCAACATGTTGTCATCCATCAAGGCGATGACGACGTGGCTAGCCATGGTACAAAACAAGAAGTAGATTTTCCCCTGAAAAAAATGATATATTTGGAGGTCCAAGTCGTCTTTCCTGGTCATCCGATTAACATCCTGAGCTACTGTCCTTAAAGTTCCGCGTGGTTGGCCAGCCATTGGGTGATTGAGGGAAAGAAAAAACTCAAAAGCCCGGTGGTTGTTCTTAGTCGAAGCTTGATATTTTAGATCTCATAGTATACACGTAAACATTTACGACTAGAAACCTCTATGCACAGGCACGAGGAACCTGGCTGTCGGGTAAAGCGCCTCTTCAGTTTATATCGTGAGTAGTAGACATTGCCCACCAAGCAGGCGGGTCTCCTGATACACAGCTGGATTTCGCATCGATTTGGCCGCTCTGAAGCTATTATACAATCTGTAAACAGCCACGTGCATCAGACACATTGCGAGTGCTGTCATCTCGGTCCAGGCCACGCCGCTAAGACTCGGTCTAACTTGTTAGTTCCGTCCTGGGATACTTTTGTTTTCTGCTTAGGGTTGCAAAGACACAGACACAGAGCTTAGTTCGGAAGGCAAGAAAATGTTTAAAAGTCATTCACTTCACGTGTTGATTGACGCCATGCTTTGCGGCTTGCGAGAATGGGGAAGCTATATAAGGATGGCTGGAGTATCAGCACCCTCCGGGACCTACTTGGAACTGTTTACCACATTCTGCCCCCTTTACCCACACCTCTGAAGCCAAAAGAATTCCTATACAATGCTTCTGGCAGCTGTCACCACCGTCCTTTGGGCCATTACGTCTGCTGTCTCGGCTGCGACGGCCACCAGGTTCGAGGGCATACCGTCGGTGGGCGTGCTCTACACCCACGAGCCCAAAAAGCACTTCTGCACTGCTGCCGTCGTCAAGAGCAAGCCGGGAAATCTCATCCTCACGGCTGCGCACTGTATCCGCGGCGATGGGAAGCACCTTCGCTTTGCCCCCGGATACCACGATGGCTCTACCCCATATGGAACCTACCCCGTCACAGGGACCTATATTCACAACGACTGGAACAAGACCTTTAGCATCAACCACGACTACGCCATCCTAACGCTTGGTAACGCCATGGTTAGCGGCAGATCCGTTACTGTCCAGCAGATTACTGGTGGCAACAAACTCGATTTCAACCCTTCATACAAGAACGTGGTCAAGGTCTTCGGCTATAATCTCAACGAGGAAAAGCCTATGCGCTGCACGACGTCCACTTATCGGGCTGGAGAGGGACAACTTGGCTTCAACTGCGGTCCGTTTAGGGCTGGCACAAGTGGTTCGGTGTTTATGGCCAAGTATGGTCATAAGTCGATGCTTGGAACGATAGTTGGAAACATTGGTGGCTGGCAGGGTGGGGGTTGTAGCGACAGCACGTCGTACTCGTCCAAGTTTAGTTCTGGTTTGCAGCGCGTCTACAACGAAGCTAGTAACTCGACTGGAAAATCCTGCTGCGGTTGGGTGGTTAGGGGCGGTGTTCCCAAGTATTGCTAAGAGACAAGACTGTGGAAATAACCTCCTTTTAATTTATTGACAAAGTCTCTCAACCTGTGGATACTTGAAGTGTGTGCCACTGTGCTCCTGGCCAGGGGATCGGCGATGTCTTGTGCCCTGTTGCTGATATTTGAATATGTGTCCTGGTTTCGACGCGGCAACGCGGCAATAGGTCGGCAGATCAGCTTCAGGAACATGGCTTCCTATGCCGTGGCGTCAACAGCTGCCCTCTGCACAAGCGTTCCAATGTTGAGTGGATTCGCCATAACATGGCGTTTGCCATGGGTGGTAGATCGCCAATGCCAATCTCTTAGTACCGGCGGCTTCGTCGGCTCTTCGGCGGCGTGAAGTGCGCCGAGTTCCCTAAAGGGTAAAGGATGAAGCAATTTTGCGGACCATTGCTGTCCCCTGTCGCCGGTCACCGGCCCCTTGAGCATTTCAGCCGCAATAGGGGTTCGACTGGTGTGATGAAAATCGTTGTGTCGCCCTGTCATTGTGTTCGTCAAGCCGTGGGAGTCGTGGTGGGTGTGCGGCGTCAATCAAGGTGAGCGATGTCGGGCAACTTGACAGGTCGAGGGAAGGAGCTGTCCTGTCGACTGCAGACAGTGCCAGACACCGTCATCTGTGCCATCATCCCTGGTCGTCCATCTCGCAGCAATTACCCTCGCTTTTCTTGCACCAACAGTCTTTCCCTTCATACCAGACACTTACAAACCTCGGTGCCGATACCAATTTCCAGCTTCCTCTTCCCCTGGGATTACTCCCATTCCTTTATGCTTCAACGCCAAAGCCGGCATCGTACGCATTTTGATCATTCCGACACTCGGTAGACTTGCAGGGTAAAAAAAGCTGTGCTTCGGGAAATCATCACAAGCTAGGCCGCAAAGCTCCAAGCTGGGCACGAGCGATACTCGACAGCAGCTTCATGGACTGGCCAATTGCCAATTGAACAATGGGATGTTCCGGAGAATGACCTACCTTAAGGCATCCTATACATCACGGCGCCCTACAGCTCCAAGCGAATTGATTGCAGCTTCATCTTCAACTGTGTTATCGTACGTCACCGTCTATGTAGACGGCGTCACGTCACGGAGTCTAGATGAGCAGCAAGAAGAACGCAGCCGACACCACCGCCGCCGCAGGAAAGGTTCCACGCGCTTGCGATGCCTGCCGAGTGCGAAAGGTGAAGTGCAACTTTGACCAGCCATGCGCGCAGTGCGCTCATCTGAATCTGCCATGCGTATTTGCACCTGCGCCACCCAAGCGCAAACCAGGCATCCGAGGCCGTCTCGTCGCTCAGCTACGCAATAAGACATCGACAAGCGGACCGAGTAGCTCACAAGCCGTGTCGCCGCCATCCACGACCCAGGTTGGTGGCTCTGTTAGCCGCGATCCTTCGTCGGCTGGCTCGTCGCCTAGAGCAGGCGTCATCCCAGTGACCTCAATTGCTGGCATAGTCGATAATCTGGGAAGCAGCCCGCCCTCAGAACCGGCATTTACGATTGGAGGATGTGGCTTCTCGGCAGACTTCTTCCTCGGGCTACTCACTGAGTTTGAGGAGCTTGTATATCCCGTCAACCCTGTCCTAACACCGGCCGAGGTACGAACTGCCATTCATAACATGCATAGCAACTTTGAAGATGCTGCTCTAGTACATGCCTATGCATCAGTGACTATCAACCTCACCAAGACATCATGGACAATGAATGGAATCGATATAGCTTCACAAATGACAACTTTAATGCAATACTGTTTTTGGGCGCACAGGAAAGCTGAAATGGCGAGAGAAAGTGATGGATATAATGGTGGTTTACAAGGTGAGATGCCAATCACGGTCAAGCGCATCATGACGTGTATTTGGCTCGAAATCTGTCTCATGGCCTTCAAACGATTCGACCGAAGCTATACAATACTTCGAGAAGCAATCAGCATGGTCCAAATGCTCAACATGCACCAGTATTGCGAGGGCGACCATCGTCTGACCCATACAGAACTAGCCCGGCGTCAGAGAATGTATTGGGAGGTCTACATCCACGAACGCTTCTTATTCATCATGTCCGGGTTTCCATGCACCATGGTACCTCTGCGCACCGGACTGCCCTTTCACGATGAAACTCTTCCCGCCAATGTCGCCGTCGGGTGGAACCGCCTGATCCTCCTCTTCCAAAACATGGACGATGCCTTCCTCTCATACTGGGCTGCTCAACAAGCCCCCAACCCCCTCCTCCCCGAAATAACATCACAGTGGATAGAAAGCAAACAGGCACAGCTCGACCAAGACGAGGCAGATGCCCTCGGTGACGAAGAAGAAATGATAGTCGCCGGATACGGCACGCTAATCGAACTACAACACGTCGACCTGTTCGTCACTCGGCTGTGGCTCCGAACCCTAGTTTGGCAACTGGCCCTCTCCCAAGGCCTGCTCCGCTCCACGCCAACACAAAACACACACGAGGGCCTGTCCCTTCATTTCCCAGCGCAGCGTCTCTCCGCACAACTTCGCAACCTCGTGTCCCGCTTGAAGAGCGTATCTAGTGTCGTCTTTCATGGGAGCGGCATTCTCCAAAAATTATTCGAGATTACAAGCACCGTAGCAGATGTGCTGGCGCTTCCACGCGGAATCGGCCAGACGGAAGAAGAGTCCCGGGCGAGACTCGAAGACTTCTTCTATCTCGTCAAGTTCATATTCAGTTTTGAGAGAACGCAGAAACATCAAAGGGATTATCTGAGAGAGAAACTCGAGGTCTTGGGGAAGATGTACACTGTCGTAGATTTCAGGGAACTGGCGGGCGCGAGCCCTTCGTCCGCATCGGGAGATGTATATGAGTCGATATCAAAAACTACCTGAAGAATATAATCACATGCCCAATGAGAATCTCGAACGCCGCTTTACCCTGCCACAGAACAGGCCGGCCTTTCTTTTTAGTACTTCATAAATGTCTGGCCGGAGAACATGACATCACCAAGTGATGCTAGTGACCGGCTAATGCTAGATCTCTTCATAGTCTCTTGGGACTAACGTGATGAGCGGCACAAACTGTCGGGCTGATGAGGCCAAGCAGGGAACAAGGGGGCCGTCACAAAGAAGCACCTTGCGTGACGAAGACTCGACACGAAATACTCCGTATGGGAATGGTGAATATGAGGCAAGCCCAAAAGGGGCTCAGAGGCGGGAACGTGGCGTTAGATCAGGCCATAAGACCACGGTTTATTCAACTAAAGCAGCACCCGGATAAACGCTAGTTCTTTCACTCTGGGCACTCCGTGCTTCAGTGGAAAAGGCAGCATGAATCATTAATAGCAATTACTGAGCCCTTGATTAGAGATGAGGCTGGCAGGCAGCCAAGGGCACGGATCTGAGACGAGTCGAAGGCGTGAGGTCCTGATGCAACGGTGGGGAGGGTTGCGTGGCGCGAGAACCTTGATGGGCACTTTCTTATATTAATGCAACAATCGTCCCATCTCATCCGACACACCTCTTAAAACCATATGACACTACAGTGGCACATGCTCAAAAGTTTCAAAAAATGACTGTTGTATAAGACTATTCTTAAGCCTGTTGCTCTACCATCTAAACCAATTGTTGCTATTCATGCCCACCGCAATCATGGACACCAGGAGGTCTGGTATGCAACTATTCCAGCCCCTGCCTCGTAGTTGTTTGTGTGCAAAATCTGAGCAGGTGAACATCCACCCACGTTGATACCACTGACCACTGATTGAAAGAAAAAATTTCGCATCAAACCCAATACTGGACACCATGTCCAAAGCCGCGCCTCTGTTGAAGGTACTATCATATCTCGCAATACAAAATCGTGTGCTCGTATCCGCAAACACCTGTTGTCCTTTGGCCCCTGGCGAGTGTTGAACGGCCAGTGCCCATCTTTTATTTTTATTTTTATTTCTTTCTTTTGGCAACTGAGCTCGAATCACCGTCTTTACACTCTCGGAACCGGTACCTTTGGCTTCTTCAGCAACATGGTCATGGCTGCCACAATGACGGGGACAACGCTGACAATCTCACCCAGACCGGCGTAGGCTGGTGGAATGCGAATATTGACGAATGCACCAGACGCCAGGAGAATGGCCAGAACGTTGTACACCGCGGACCACGCAAAGTTGAACAACATGCGTCGAAAGCTTACGCGACTAATTTCCAAGAGGAAAGGAATTCCCTCAAGTCCATTGAGAAGAACGACGTCGGCAGCTTTTCCGGTGACATCGCTGGCAGACAGAACACTGCCGAGCTGGACACCAACATCTGCTTGCGATACGGCAACGGCGTCATTGGTTCCGTCCCCAACAAACATGACGAATTTCCCCTCCTTCATCAGTTTAGCGACGTAGTCTCGCTTTTCGACAGGCGTGCATTGCGACACAATGTTGGGAATTCCGACTTCGGAGCCAACCATTTCAACAGCGTGCTTCTGGTCACCAGAAACCAGATGGGTGGTGATATTGCGACTGGCCAATTGGGAGACAACTCGGACAGCCTCTTTGCGAAGATGAGTTCGAAGACCAAACAAGGCGATAGGTGCTCCATCCTGGGTGACGATCAAAAGTGTCATGCCTTCATTCTGAAGACGCGAAACTTGGTCGTGAGAAGCAGTTTGGGTCCACTTAGGATTTCCGGCTCGAAGTATGGCACCGTTGAGTTTGGCCTCGACTCCAGCTCCAGGGATGACTTGAACGTCATTGAGGGTCTCGGCAGGAATACTTCGGCCCTCCAAATAGTTGGCAACAGCGAGGGAAACCGGGTGCTTGTTACCAGCGACCAAGGCCTTCGTGATTGATACTGCTCTGGCTTCATTGATGAGAAGGACTTGTTTCTTCACATCCAAGTTTTCTTCAGTAATGGTACCAGTTTTGTCAAAAACAACATCCGTCACTTTGCGGGCTCGCTCCGTGCATTCCGCAGACTTGATAATGACACCGCTGCGGGCGGCAATGCCTCCCGCAATGACAAGGACCATGGGCACGGCCAGGCCGAGGGCACATGGGCAGGAGACGGCCAAAGTCGCAACGGCATAAGTGATGGCATTTGAGACAGACTTGCCAGTGTTGTACTTGCGAACTTTGAAGCCGACTACCAGCCATACAATCACGACAATGATGGCAACTGAGGTGACAACCGGTACGAACCAGCTTGCAACGCGGTCTGCATAGTCCTGCAGCTTGGGCTTTGAATTCTGTGCCTCTTCGACAAGCTTTGCAATGTCGGTCACAGTATTCTTGCCGGGAAGTCGAGTCAGTTGAGCGATCAAGGTACCATTTTTATTGACTGTGCCGGCAATTACTGCGTCACCTCGCCCTTTGGAAACCGGAACACTCTCTCCAGTGAGCATTGACTCATCAACGTCACTCTGGCCGCTTAGAACGAGACCGTCAGTGGGCACACCCGAGTCAGGTCCAATCTTGAGTTTGTCGCCGTATTGCAACAGACGAGCATCGATGGTTCTATCATTATTGTTCTCGACGATGACAGCCGCTGTAGTTTGGAGAGATCGCAAAGACACAGCCTCGACAGCTCGGATACGCGCAAAAGCAGCCACGAATCGACCGAGAATCACAAGGGTGATCAGAAGAGTACTGGTCTCAAAAAATTCCGATGTCTCGAGCGGCCTGCCAGCCATGCGAAATCCAAAAGCCACAACGGAATACAAATATGCCGCAGTGATGCTGATGACCACGAGCATATCCATCTCAATGGTGCCACTGTGAATGAGAGCGCTGATGGCCGGGCGATAGAAGTCCGGAATGGCGATAATCTGGACAAGTGTGGCTAATACAATGGAAATTATGGCCCCGGTTTGTTCGTCAACAGGAGTACTTCCCCAAGCTAAAACCAGGACAGGAATGGTCAAAACAGCAGCGAGAACAGTCTTGACAAGTTGGTCATAGAGTCTCTTGCGGCCGCTCGAAACCGACGGATCGTCGCGAGGAGAAGCAAGCCCCTCGACTTGGCCTTGAAGCTTCTCGAACAAATCTCTCGCCCCAAGTATAGTTGGGACATAGCTTAAGCGAACAGTGGTCTTGCTTAAAATAGTGGCACCTGCTACACCCTTGATGTTGCAATTCAAAAGTGCCTTGGCCGATTTTCCAGATGCCAGTACATCAAGAACCTGATCATCGCTAGCCATGCGATTGCAACGAAAGTTGGTTGCTCTCTCCGCAGCACGAATAACCTCAGCTGCTGTGTTGACCGATGTGTCAACCTCGAATTCCGCATGGCTCATGACGAAGTTGACTTTGACGGACGATACACCAGCAATCTTATTCAGAGTGTTGGTCATCTTGTTACCACATCCTGAGCAAGTCATGCCGTCAACGACAAGCGTGACATGCTCTAGGCTCTCGACCTTTTCAACATCGCGCTCGATTGAACGAATCCCGTGAGACTTGCCGCTGTCAAGGGGCTGAATGGCGTCATGGTCCAGCGCGTGGCCACTGCAACAATCATGCTTTACTGGCTTGCAGCAGGAGTCGCCTTCGCCTTGGTGCTTAGCCATCTTTCCGCGGCACCTAATTCCGTGGTGATGATGAGGACCGTCGTGTTTATGGACCTTTCGCCCACTGGCATATATTTCGGCTTTATCTTCCAGCGCGTTTTGGGTCGCGGTAGGGCTGGTTTTCTTGGGCTGGTCAGCACAGCATGTCGTCGACCAACCTCGCTCGAGAACGCTTCGACAGATGCAGCGAGCAGAGTCCAGGTAGGCGCTGTATTGCTTGAATGCTTTTTCCAGATGGGAACTGCATGCTCCAGAGGGATGATGCCCATTTGCGTCGTGCTGGTGTTCATGTCCGTTGGCGGCTGTTCAGTGGTTGTGAGGTGAGCGGAGTGCATTATACAAGACGGAGAATTGGGGCTATGAGAGTCCTTTCAGGGGCGAGACAATGGAATCGACATACTGTTTTGCTCGAGGTTGTCTGTCTCGCATGTCTTTTCACACTCGAGTGCAGCGGCTGCGAGGATACATTTCTCTTTTTGCCGCTGTCAGATTGGAACTGGTGCCCCCCAAACATTGAACATGGATCGCAAAACCTATACTCACCATCGCAGTGCTCCTCATTACTGGAGCAGCAGGCCAGAGTTTCAGAAAGGCTGGAATCTTCACAGCAAAATTCGTCGTCACAGCACTCCCCCTCCTGGGTGCAGGGCTCCTCAACCATGCAATGGTCTGGGTCATGGTCGTGGTCGTGACTGTGTCCATGGTCCTGGACTTGCTCATGATTGTGGCCGCCGTGGTGGTGGCTGTGTTCTCCGTGGTGATGATTCTCATGGTTGTCTTCAGAAACGGCTGCGGAAACGGCATCATGGCTGGGTTGGCCAGAGCAGCACTCGGTGCCCATGATTGCGGTTTGAAAAGAAAAGGAATTCACAAGTGCAAAATGCTTAGTCGACGGGACGAAAGCAGCTGTTGAATGCAGTCAGGCGCTTTGGGGGTTAGATTTCGATTTGGGCAGGAAGGAGTCAAAGCAGCACGGGAATGAAGGAGGTGCAGCAGGAGACGTGGGAGATATGCCAGAGAGAGCAGCGGGGGACGACGCCACGCGACTTGAATTAAAACAGAGATTCCATGCGGAACTTGATACGAAAAAGACAGCAACCTGGAAAAGAGTCGAAACACAAGGTTGGGCCAAATGAAATGGGGCGACAGGGACAAAGCTACGAGTGCGATGCCATCCCTGCATCCCAATCCCCATCGGTTCTCGCAAAGCACCACCGTCGCTAAAGGTTGAGGGAGTCGCATCTCCGATTGATTATCGACGGGACTAGGGCAACCCGAATCCGGGAGCGTCGTCAGCTTCACAGGATGGGTTACAACCACGTTGATGTCGCCACGGCCCGAAACTCCTAACAGCAGTGGCACCTGCCTCATCGGTTGTCGCACTTGTCCGAACACCACATGAATTTGCAAGCCCCGGTTTAAGCGTAAAGCTATTTGGAGACTCGAAACGCTTGTCCCCGTTGAATCAACTTGTACGCCAATGGCCTGATTCTGATTTTCTTTCTTCCCTTTCCCGACGCCTATCAGACCTGCCGGGGTGGTGGATCAAAAAATCAGTTGGCATGCGCCACCAGCGCATTCTAGCGTTGCTAGACGCTTCCATCTGTTTGGTCCCGCTGCCCATGACTTGGAGTGCGGAAAGGCTCCATCGTCAAGTTTCAATAAACCCTTCCTTGGGTGTTTGAACGGTTCATGGTCCGCCGGGCCTTGGTGTTGGGAATATCGGCAAAGTCTGGACAAAACCGACACCTTGGGGCCACGAAATCACCACTCCACCGCAAAATTGGCCATGAGTGCATAATCGCAAGCAACCAACACCAGCAGTTGCGCTACACCAAATTGTTTTTCTGCGTCACCTTGGCGCTGCTGCTCATTGGTTTCGACGGTTGCGCATGGTCCCTTTTGCGGGATGAGCCAACCGAACTGTACAAACGCAAGCCGCCAAGGATACGCGAAAATGTATGTTAACGTAGGTGAGTGAATCCGTGCTCCATTGCCTCGGAGTAGATGCCCGATCAACCCAGCGGTAGAAACTCACGGAGACAACTCGGAGACATGCATGTGTTCTAGTAGCGTTCCCAACTTGCCTACATACATTCCATCTATGGCATCCTTTAAACTTTGATACTGAACTTGTTAGACTATTTGTTAAAACATGACAACAATGACAAGGATAGAAATGGGTGAAAAGCAGCACTCCCCGTCCCATGACAAAGCCCGCGGTAGCAACAACGCAATTCCGTAGTAGTCAAAGATGGCAATCAAGAGCTTGAACCATGATTGGCCTGTTCACAAGTCGTGTTACAAGAGTGCAGCATGCCAAGGCGCACTGTCCAAGCATGCGATAGTCTCGGCTTTGCACCTCTGTAGTCAGTGAATTCGAGCCAGGATTCACAGAATCAAACCACTATTTTCAAAGGTTCTCTCCGTCGCACACCGCCCCGGCATCAGCCTAGTGTCTGCGCCTCCAAATCCATTCCATCTACACTCCCGCAAGCACAGCCGTAGTGTTCACTTTCCATGAGCCAGTGAATCCTCCTTGTCCCTCGTCAATGGTCTACATCAAACCCCTAAAAGCAACCGGTGCCCCCTCCCTCACAGTCGCACACAGTTTCCCATCCCCGTCCGCCGCGTACGTCTCCCCATCCAGCACGCCCTTCCACCTCCCGTCCGGCCTCTGCGTGAAAAAGCAGTACTCACGCGTCTGCCCCAGCCCGATGTTGCTCGTCAGCGCCATCACTGTGCCGTTCTCCCTGCCTCACGCGTACGCCGTCGAGTCCACAAACAGATGGGCGTGGTCATCGCCTGCCAGGCCGCCTGCCGACTTCTTGACATCCAGCACCTTGGCGATGAATCCGTACATATATTTGGCAGTTCTCGACGGACGTCTGGTTCGAGTAGTCGATTTGGCAGGGGGCGTGATATGACGAGCCTTGGTTGAGGAGGGGAGGGCAGACGGGCCCATGTGGTTTGCGACTACGTCCACCATGACGTACATTTGCTTTGGGGCCGTGAGCAAGTTGCGGCTTGTATGTGACGTTGGAGGCGTACCCTTTCGTGGGCGGTATTGACGAGGTTCTTCAAGTCGTCTGCGCTGCCGTACTTGGCGTTGATGGAGTAGAGGTCCTGAGCCCAGTGTCCGTGATAGCCGCCGGCGGTATCTGTTGAAATGTCAGTGGTTTTTTTTTCCCCCCTCTTGAGCGTTGGCTCTGCGTACTGGCCACCACTGGGGTGATCCAGATGGTTCCAGATGGCATCAAATCCCATGCCCCGGATGTAGTCCAGCTTCGCCTGCAGTCCCTGGAATGTGCCACCGCAGTAATCGCCCATGTTCCCGCACGGAGGGGTTGTGCTATTTGTGCGGCAGAAAATCGTTATGTCACGCGGGCAAGTATAGCTCAGGCCGTTTTGGAGCCCGCCGTTTCTTCACCAACCAGCAAATGTCAACAGGCCAGACTTTTGAATATACATGAGCTTATTCAATTGACATGCGGCTGCCGAATAACTCCATGCAGGTGGACCACGTTGCCGCCAAACGCCACCATCGATTGGGTGACGATGCAGCATTGATTGCGGCTGACGTGTTGGAGCCTTCAGCCGTCTGGAGGTGTGCGACAAGGAAATAGGGATCGCAGCCCAAGTTACGCTCCATAGACTATGAACTGCCTCGGCTTCTCTACACCCTGCTTCCATTGTATATTGACGTCAAGCGCCCAGCCGTCACCATGTTTAGAATGAGCAGCCCAGAAACATTTCCCTACGCGCCGCTCGACTTGTCGCGGCGAACATTTCGTCTCGTTCGGCTCCTTCCACCAAAACCATCAGTGATACCAGGCTGTTACGGCACGCTGCGAATCGAACTGCTTGAAGCCGAGATCGACGATGCCGCCAAGCCATCGTGTGAATACGACGCTCTCACATACGTTTGGGGCGTCACGGCCCAAGACAAGCCGACCCGCGCCATCATCGTGGAAGACCGAGGCAAGTCATACCGTCTCTGGATCCATCGTCCGCTGGAATTAGCGCTCTTGCATTTCATCGAGAACAAGGTCTCGGATTTGCCGCTTTTCGTGGACCAAATATGCATCAACCAGGGAGAAGACAACAACGGTGAATATAATGAGAAGGCGCATCAGGTGAGTCTCATGCGAGACATATACTCGCAGTGTAACCGCGCCATTGTTTGGCTGGGAACCGCGACGCGCGGGTCGGACGAATGGTTCAAGTATACCCGTGAGATATGCCACGAAGGCTTACTGAGCGGGCTGATGGGCCCCCGTGTCTCGACCTTTATGCAAGTTTTCGACGCCGTCATGGACCCGTCAATCGAGGTGACCGGGCAGCAGCGGGAGGACCGAGATGCGCTTCTCGAGCTTGTCCGACGGCGCGGCGACCAGTATCCCATAGCTGGGTACACTGACGTGCTGGACCGCAGTTGGTTCAACCGCCTCTGGACGATCCAGGAAGCATGTCTCGCGCCGGGGGTCATCATGGTGTGCGGTAGCCAGTCATTATGCTTCGATTGCTTCCGTGCGGGCGCGTTATTCTACAATATTTACAACACCCACTGGGTTGGCCAGCTAAGGGAGGCCAAGTCGAAATCGGAGCTGCGCCAGCGTGATGCCGTCTTTCAAAAGACGTCTGGATTTCACCGGGTCTTTCAGGAGCGCAAGGCCATTCACATGACAGGCACAAGGCAGAGCTTCTACAATGTCATATTGAAATACAACGTCAACGAGGATCGGGCCAAGATTGGAGCCACGCTCCCGGAAGACAGGATCTTTGGCCTGTTGGGTCTCACGGCAGACGACGACCCTCTGCGGCAGCAGGTTCGTGTCCGGTACAACCCTGTCGATCCAGAGGCCGAGGTTGTAAGGATCTACACCGAAGTGGCAGCCCTATTGCTGGGGGACAACATCGATGCGTTGCTCTACGTCCAGGCCGGGAAGAAGACGAGAGGGTTGCCGTCCTGGGTCCCGGATTGGAAAATGGAGCTGAAACTGCCAGTGGGCTACACGTCTTTGAAAGAGCCCTTGTTCAATGCCGGAGGACCCCGGGATCAGGGACGATTCCACGTGCATCACGAAACTGGGCGGCTGACAATTCGGGGATGCATCGTGGGCGAGGTGGTAGCTGTCGGTGAGCTTACGTATCGCGATCGAGTGGATAGCATGATCCAGCGAGATGTCGACTACCGCTGGGCAAAGAAATTCTTTGACGAAGCTGCTCAATTTACACGGGATGCGGGCGCGATGCGCAATGACGACACGGCTTCGTTGGCTCTGCAGTCTCAGCGGGTTTGCGACTCCGGCTTGAGTTATCAGCAATTTGTCAATCGACTCGGCTTAGACGACGGTATCAAGAGGCTTGGTGTCGTTCACGGCTACTACTACAGAATAGGGCAGCGTCTACTCGAGTCGGATGCGACTGTCGCAAGCTACCACATCTCGCGAATCTATCGAACCGTTGGCATCACCCCGTGGTACTTCATCCCGCCGCCCGAGATGGACACACTGCGCATTTGCGCTCGAGATCCTGCTTCGGCTTGCAGGGTATTGTGCAGTGCTCTGAGCGACTTTGTCGAGGACATGGTCGGACTATGCGTCGCATCGGCTCACGTATCCATATTACCCTATTATCTTCAACTTCGCCGGCGGTACGGCAAGGTCACATTATATGTTGGCGATGAGACTATGAGAAAGTATGGCCTTGATCCTGATCAGGGCGTGAGGAAAGATATGACTGCCTTTTCGGAAAATATTCTCAAGAATGTCGGCCGCAGGTTGTATCGCACGGCGACAGGGCATGTGGGCATAGGGCCACCGGAGATGAGACCGCGAGATGCAGTGACGGTGTTTCACGGGGGCACCACGCCTCATCTGCTGAGGAGGGTGGCACGTCCAGAATCAGGGGATGATGACGAGTTGTGGCAGTATGTTGGGGAAGCGTATTGTGACGGCATTATGCACGGCGAGGCGTTGGGGGCAATTTCTGAGCGCCGCTTTACTCTGTGCTAATGCTTTCTTATATAGATGTTGCGTGCCAGAGGCAGGGATACTCAATCTGAAGGAATCGAGGTTACGTGAACGTAACTCTGTCGCATGGCGAATGCTGTTTTCTGATGCTTGGTTCTCCCTGGTGCTCTGACTCTATGCAGCATCAACAAAGGATATTGGGGCTTCCTACACATGAGCATGGCTACACTTGAGAATCAGAGAGTGGCGGCTGTCATTTCAGTTCTAAACAGGATTTGCCCACAATCTTTTCGGTCAAGTACCCCAAGCTCCTCGTCAATAGTCAAGCCACCCGTCCGTTATCCCGAGCTCGGTTATGGCTATTTTCCGGACCTTCAATGAAGGGGCTTTCTTAAAAGGATGCTCTTATTGGCCCTCTCTTGGCAGGGCTGGTGGAAATAGCAACAAGTTTCTCACCCATCACGAGGCACACGTTCATTCCCTTCCAGGGCCTAGACCTCAACAACAACTATTAACAATCCTGGCTCGTCACACGACCGGGCTCCAATGACAGGCCAGCTCATCACCGTCCAGTCGCATTCCATGTCTCTCTCTTCAAGGGAAAGACGATCCGGGTTGGTCGGGCAGCAAGTGAAGTGTAGGACAGAAACGCGGACAAATCCTTCATCTGGTTAGCTCCACCTGCAGAGTCCAGACGTGCAGCGTGGGGTAGAACAAGGCCGTGTGCCCCGAGCCACGATCCAATCAGGTGTTGTGACGATGTTGGTGTTGGGCTCCTTGACAGCTTGTGGCACAACCACCAGAGGAGCCTGAGCCCCCGGATGCCCCTTGTTCTTGCAGTCGATAGCGCTGTTACCCCAGGTTATGATGGGATGACAACCTCGGGCCTGTCAATATGGCTTGTGATGGGAACGGGTTGTGTCGTCCCATTCGTAGGGGCAGCATGAGGGCTTGGCTCTTAAAAGTATATACATACACGACCATCGTCGCATTCTGGAAGATTGCTCTGTCCACCGCGACGTTTTGCAGTTGAAACCGCTATTGCTGTTGCTTGTTACCGGTCGATCAGGGGGAAAAGGCTACGCTCGCTCAGAAACGCCATTCGTTTGCCTTTGTTTTTTTCGCTGCATTATACCCACCCCCCTTACACAGATGAAGTTCCTCCTCTTCGCCTCCACGGCCTTGGCTCTCGTCAGGCGCCAGGGCGATGTTCTCTCGGCCGACGTTGCCGCCATTGTCACGAGCGTCACGGCTCTCCAGACACAGGTCAACAACTTCCAGGGCGCCGCTCAGGCTGATGCCTTGATTGCCGCCTCTGACGGCGTTGTCGCCGCCATCAAGAAGGGTATTGCTGATGCCAATGCCTCTCCTCCGTTGACCCAGGAGGAAGCGTTCACTCTCGTCCCGCCTCTGAACAACCTGATTGGCGTCGTCAACAAGACCGTCGGTGCTTTGGTCGCCAAGAAGCAGATCTTTGCTGACTCTGGCCGCGGCTGCGAGGTCTACCCTCAACTCGTCAAGCAGGGAGCCGACTCCAAGGCTTTCTCTGATGCTCTTGTCGCCAAGGTTCCTGACGCACTGAAGGGCATTGCCGGCCAAATCTCTGCTCCGATTTTGCAGAGCTTGGCTGACGGTGCCGCTGCGTTCAAGGACGTCGAGTGTGCTGCCACCTCAACCACCGCCACTCAGTCTTCGACTCTTTCCACCTCGTCAACCGCCTCCTCTGCCTCAAAGACCACAACTTCTGCCGGCTCCGGGCCGCCCACCCCC